AGGGGTGCAGTGAGTAGAGTTGAGAAGGGTCTTAATATTGACAACTGCGGCTCGAGTTGTAACGCTACAATTTCGTACGAATCTTCTGATCAGTGAGACCTGGAGTACATAAGTATGTATGCGGAATCTGAATTGGAACACTGCATCAATATCATATGTGATGGCCCCAACGGCCCATTTCCGCTACTATCGGTCACCTGTGTCACCATTACCATCACTAATTAGTAACAAACATGTGATGCGATGTTTGTTACTAACTAGGGGGGAAGTTTATGCTGTGGTACTTCAGCGAGTTCCGCAGCACTCGGCGGTCACTTAGGTAGGTAGAAAAAGTATGGAAGCCCAGACACTCGCGCTCAATTAAGATAGGGCTCATACAAACACTACCAACATCACGTGATGTAAATAGTCACACTGCAGCAATTTTGAGGGAGAAAAGTGTGACATTGGCATATTTCGTGGGCTACATGACACTAAACAAAAAACAGTCTCCGGGCATAGCAATACAGACAAGGCCCCCACTGTTCCCCGGAAGCAGATTTCGGACTGCTTGTTTGACGAGAGAGAAATAAGAACATTTCAATGATGACTAAGCTATGCACATTGTCTACTGGTTCCATGCACAAGTGAGTCGTATGTTGGAACTGGCAAGTCGTTCGGCCCGAAACGCTGTCCTGCTGTCACACTGTGATATGTTCTATGTGTTCTGTTATCTTTCTGGTCAGAGAAGAAATATCAGATCTATTGCGATTCGAATAAGATCTGATCTACGAGTAATGAAAGTGAGAGTTGCATGTAAGTATTTGGGCAAAGCCCTGCAGGGGTTTTCGGCCAGAAACACTGCTCCGAACCTAAGAGATCAAGATGAGCTGTGATTCCCAAACACATAAGGAGCCCAGCGATGCGTCAGGTGCAGCTTGAACTCCCTGTTATAAGGAGCGGGGCGAGACATACCTTAAAATTATCGCAGTTGCGGCATGGTATAATGAGTGAAGGGTTCTATGATTGGGGTGTCTTGCAAGTATGGTGCCATTATCATAGTGTGATCATGTAGATAAATGGTGAAGGCTTCACTCGACCATTGTCCCATTGATTTGACGACATCAAATGGAATTCCCCGCAGCAAGTATTCCAGTGTTCCTCCAATTTGGATACTATGACCCTTCAACTCTGGGCATCCTCCTTGTTTGGCGATTATGCTGATTCTCTTTAGGAATGCGCTCCTTGTGAGGGGACGCATGCCATTGCTGTGTTTCCATGTGAATAGGTGATGTTCGGGTGAGGGATTATTGATTGTGAAGTGATTAATGAGTGCCGCTTTGGGATCTGATGCGTCTGATTGTTCTGCCCAGTAAATGTCTTCGCTGGTTAAGGAAGTCTTTGTGCGCGGTATGCATATCCTGGTTACTCACAGGCCATGACGGTCCTCACCATCTAATTGTGTGTCTCCTCGTTTGATGTGGTGCTCTGGTGTAAAAGCCTTGATTGATTTGACGGTTAACTCTCCAAGCCGCGCGAGTGAATAAAATGAACTAGTTAGGCACGCGAAGATGGCGACATTGAGAGGTGATTCTAGGTTGAGATGAGTCCGAATTTTAATGATGGATGTGATTATGAGTGGCTCTCTCTTTGAACATTTGGATCCAGCTGGAGCTTCATTAGCTGCTCCATCCAGCACTGATTTCAACTCTCCTTGTTCTACCTTCCATGCTTGCCCATGAAGAACGTGCCATGCCTGAATACTGAAGACGTAATTGGTCAAAGTCTTTCCTGCGTATGCACTGGCACAACTCGCGATGAAGGTGAGAATTATGAGGGTATCAGCAGGACATCGCTCATGTTCTGGAATTCCTCGCATATTGCAAAAGACGTGAAAAACCAATAAACCCGCTCCATATGACTCTCTGGTGCTCTGTGCCCAAGACGAGTTCATCACCATTAACACCCATTGAAGGTCTTGATCTGTGATGGTGAGAATATTTCCATCTGCGCTCCGGAATGATCGACTTTCAATTGGGTACCACAGTTTAAGTCGATCGCGAGCTAAACAGTGTGGATGTAATGGGGACACTGCTGGAGTCAGCCCTGCTTTGTATGGAGGTGGCTTTGATAGCGGGACTGTAGCTGTGAGTGGGGTCATGAAACGCATATGATCTCTCTGCTTTCGCTGTTCGGGTCCCATATTGCGACCCGAGACGTCATCCTGTGCTAACAGTGGAATGTTGGAAAGTAGACGAGCTGCGGGTATTGCGCCTTCAGGAATATGGTAGTTTGTTCAGTGTGAAATCGAAGGGATCATAGATGAAATGGCAGAGTGGATGGGGAATGGGGATGGGTGTGAGGAGCAAGTTTGGGTCACCATAGATACCTCAGGAAGGTGGATCGGCTGGATTGGCGCTGCTGGTGACGTATGTTGGGTGAAAAGAGTGTGTAGCTGGTAAGCTGGATAGAAATTCGAAGATTCGCCAAAAGACTTGGTTAATGGCCACATTGTGACTACATCCGTTCTTCCAGCCTTCAATGACCCCTTGGTTGTCTCTGTAGATGCGGAAGTGCTGTTCTGGTCTATCCAAGGCGATAATGTATCAAATGAGAAGTTCGAATCCGATTGCTTCGGCCCATCCAATATCCCTTTGTCCATCAAGCATCGACCACCCTGGGTATAATTTCCAGGCTCTCCACTGCTTTCCAATGATGATCCCGATTCCAATGCCAGAGCTGGCATCTGAGAATGCTGCTGGGTCGTGAAGTGTGAGTGGTTTGGGGATATTTCGTCCAACAAAGGTGCTCTGTAAAATGTTTGTCCACCACTAAAGATCCTCTGCCAGGCCTTTAACCGGCCTATGAGGTAAGAACGGACGATTATGACACATCTGCAGCATGACCTCAAGGCTTGTGAGGTATGCTCTACCTCGTGGATATACCAAGGAAATGTGCAGAAGTTTGCCGTGTAGCTTTTGCACGTCGTTAAGCACGTGTATAGTGTGATTTTTCCAGTCTCATACTGCGAGAAGATACTTTGACTTCTTCTCCTCTGCCAGATATACCAAATTACTTGTGAGGTCCCAAGTAAGACCAATGTACAGATTAGTATAGGCGAAGTAAGCATCCTTCTGAAGCTCCCAGGGAGTCCGTGTGGTATGAGACGACCAATTAATGTCATCAAAATTGTAGGTGAACATGTTGTCTTGTGGTGCTTGCGGCGAGTCTCCTGACAAATCGCGGATTGGAAATCTGCAATCTCCATCAAACTCTTTGATGGTCCTGTCATCAAAAACATGTCCGCCAAACCATATATGGCCGCCGTCTTGATGGCTACCCCTTTTGATGATGTCATTGTGCCACTGCCTCCATTGCTCATTATATCTGTCGAGAAATTCCTTCCATATGCGAAAAAATACATGGTCATCAACCCATCGTGAAGTGGGACCAATGCCCTGAGATCTAAAAATATCCAGTCCGGCGTCTGCGAGACAACCGTATACTCCTGCAGAGGGTGACACTCCAAAACACGTGCATGTGTCAATGCAGAATTGATCCTCCGCGACACGAACGACCGCTGCTGGCCATGGTGAGTAATGTAATGGAATTGTGCGATACACTTCCGATACGTCTCTTGTAGCCATTTGTGATCCTGGCGGTAACTGGCTAATGATGAGAGTGACCGTATGGAATGTTCCCCAGGTACTGGGAAAGTCATCTGGGTTGATACATGAATTGATTGATGGATTAGGGAATTTGATGGAAGGTGCATGAGGAAATGAGTAATCTTGTATGACCCGAAAATGTCCTGGTCGACCCGGTTTTGGAATGATTGAAAAGGGTGATGATTAGAAAGGACTGATGAGGGCCTCAATTTCAGCCACTGTACAAGGTCCAATGTATCTTTCTTTTCAGATTTCAGATTCAATGATAGACTGGAATTCATTCGTATATACGAGAATAGAATCCTTGTTCGAAGGAGCCTGAGTGATTTTAATGATGGGAAAATTAAGATGAAAGCCTCGACGGAGTCCTTCGGGAATATGAGAATATCTATCAATAAGGTTGGCTTGCGTAAGGCAAATTTCCCAAGCATTAGGGTCATATGGGGTGAGGGCTCTATGTTTTCTGCACTCGAGAGCATGTTTGTGCTCCATGCGAGGAGGCGGCACATCCAGAACAGAAGTGTTGACGGTCGTGTGTGGTTTCGCTGCATCCTGTGACTCATTGCCAATCACTGCAGATTGTGGGACCGTCTCGCATGGTGAGTACTTTTCTGACTCGGGTGCATAGAGTATTCACTGCGTTGTCCCAAGTTTTGGTGGCTTTGCACTCAATGATCTTGTGCGGATGTCTTCCCAAGTAGACTGCGCAAGTGGATAGGGTGTTCCCGCTTGCACCACTCCGAAAATCCCGTCGCGAACGCCCACTCGGTTCGGGAGATGCTGAGTGACGACAATAATCTTGTCCTGGACGTGGTGATGCCGAACGACGATGTGAATCCCGCATCGAACAATTATTGTCCCTGCCTCTGTGGTTTTGGCTTGATGAAGTACCTGCTGCAAGCGCATTGATCCTCTGATCCATCTGATTGTGAGTAGCCGCGTTATTATGACGCGGTGTAGCATAGAGTGAAGCGTATGATTTTTAATGTATATTGTGATGTGAAGTATGTAGCATGTAGCGAGTAGCGTGTAATGTGTAGTGTGTAGCGTGTATCAAGTCGCGTGTAGCGAGTCGCGTGTAGCATGTAGCATGTAGCGTGTAGTGCGTAGCGTGTGGTGTGTGACATGTAGTTCGTAGCGTGTAGCATGTGGCATATTGGATGTGGTAATGTTTGTTCGATTCGAACATTTATATGGAGTGATATAGGTCGTTAGTGTATGATCCTTCGTGATTTGAAGAAAGACACTGACCCTGTAGTCTCGCCTATTGTCCGATTTTGTACGCTCTTCGAGATAGACGTTAGATCTAGTCCGCTCTAGGAGAACCTCGTTGATTCGGGACAGATTGTATGTGCCTCCCGCAGATTTGACGGCGATGTGCCATCGTTTCCTCTGCTCTGCCTGGTAGATGAGCAATGCTTTCTGTGCTTGGGGGTCCTGCATTGAACGAAAGTTGTGAACCTGTAAATTTCTCCAAAACAGGGCCATCATCTTTATACGGTCTGCAGGCCACGCAGCCTCTTGCATTGTGTCAATGATGTGTGGACAAGCCTGACAGAAGTCTTTGAAGGTGAGGTTCTGATCATCGATAGCCGCTCCTGCATTTCACGCTGACGGCTGATACCCATGCTGTATCTCCTCCTGCTAGGGTGGCCATGACCATGGCGTCTTCGTCGACCGAACTCTTGAGTTTCGCGTCATCCAAACTGTCATTGGTGAAATACCATAGTTCAACATAATCTCCTTTGTCAAGTTTGCGAGTAGTGTACGCTGATGTAATGATTACCGTCTTCAAGGGCACGTCCAGGTCAAGCACTGTAGTTTACTTATATTTGTTCTTCTTCCTGTCCTCTCTCCATGCTGCTTCCTCTTCGTTGTGGTGGTCTTGTTCTTGCCTTTCCTGCTCTTCATCATTGAGCCTCTCCATTTGCTCTTGTCGTTCCCTGTCGACCTCTGTTTGTTCTTGCCATTGGGCCTTCTGTGCCATGTTCTCCGCTTGCCATATGTTTCTGAGTATTATAATAGCCTGGGCTTCAGTAATGTTCTCATTGGTGAGTTGAAGTCTCGTGTTGACGAATGCATCATCTGCGTAATTCGGACAGACATTTAGATTTGGGTCACTCAATAGGTGAGGCATATTAGAGGGAAGTGGATTAAGGTTGTTGTATAAAAGAAAGCGAAAGAACGAGTGCTACGACTAAGAGTCATTGAGTACTGAGAGCTTGCAAGTAGTAGTATGAAGCAAAGAAGAGATGTCCCAAAAAGGACATCTGCCACATAGATGACATTCTATGTTCGTCCTCGTTCCTCAGACTCACTTAGAATACAATTCACTTTGATATGTTTTATTTATGATCTTTATAGTCCACTTAACTATATTCTTCGCCATAGCGTCTGCACGTTAAAATGCCAACTGTCTAACAACCGTTTAGCTTATACCATGTGCACAGCGCATCAATACTTTATCCTATCTATGCGCAGTCATATATAACTTTGTACTGTACATGACTGGTACCTCAGGCATTGTCTCTCTCGAGTGCGCAACTGAGGTTAGTTACCCTTTTCATTGTTGTTCTGTCTACTCGTACTTATGCTGATTACCTTAGTGAACTGTCTTTGTATAGGTAATGATCTAGGTGTTGTCTCTCTTGAGTGTGCGACTGAGTGAACTGTCTTTGTATAGTCACGCACTGCTGAAGTTATACTTCTATTAGGTTATGAGCCCTGAGCTATACTGATAGCTCAACTGCCTCACGCTTCCCTGTTGAACAAGATCCAATCTGCGATGTCAACCACTGTACCCATAACAACTGATACACTCCCCAGCAATGTTCCCAAACTCAATGTTAAAGGAACAAACTGGGTGATCTTCTCGCTCCGCTTCCAGATTGCTGTTGAAGCAAAGGAGTTGTGGAAACACTTCGATGGGACAACCCCACGCCCCATCAGTACATCCACCACCACTCCAAGTGGGTCAGTTACTGTGTCCCTGCCAGACCCTGTCGACATGGCCAAGTGGCTGAAAAGCGAAAATCTCGCGAAACACTTACTTGCTCAGTGAATTCCTGACTCTACTGTGCTGCATGTATGAAACCTCATTGACGTAGCTGCCATGTGGATGGAGATCGTGCGCAAATACACCAAGAAGGGTGCCTATGCTCAGACCGATCTTCGAATGAAGTTTTTAGAGTCCAAGTGCACTAACAGTGGAGACATCTGCCAATTCCAAGATGACCTGCACGCCAAATGAGACGAGTTAGCTGCTGTTGGTGTGGTCATTGAAGAGAAGGACTACCGCTCTACTATAATCCAGTCCCTCCCAAATTATCTTGCCAGTTTCGCATCCAGTCAGCTCGCAGCTGCCCGACTGTACAGCCCATCACACACCATTGATCCCGATATTCTGATTTCATTAATCATTGAGGAGTCTGAGTGTCAAAACTGCAAGGATGGCTGCAACGGCAACAGCTGCGGCACGGCAAAAGGTCGAGATGGTGATGAGGCCTTATCTGTAGCCCCCACTGATTTCCCCAGTCGAGGGCGTGGTAATGGCAGAGGTGGTAGATGGGGTGGTTTCAATGGATGTGGCAGGCAGCGCCCGCCATGCTGGAACTGCAGTTCCAGAGAGCACTTCAAGGCTGACTGCCCACAGCCTGACAAGTCAGTAGGAAGAGATTCTATTGCTGTCGTCGTGAAAGGATCAGCCCAAGTCATTGATGACAATGACTCCAAGGACAACAGTGTTTTCGCTGTCGACACCTTGATGGAACTGGACTCTGACTTACCAGACCTCCTCACCCTGTCCGACTCTGACTCCGATGACAATGAGCCTGGATCCCATGCTACCAGAGATGCATACTGGTTCTCGGACATGGAAGAAGACAATGACGTGCCATATGTAAATGACGACATTGTTGAGCTAGCCGCTCATGTTAGTGATGAGCACACTGTGAAACCAGTCATTGAGCTATACGACTCTGGCTCAACAAGGCATATATCGCCGTACCGCGACCAGTTTGAGTCCCTCACCCCCATCCCCCCACATTCCTTTGCTGCTGCTAACAAGCAGTGCTTCAACACGACTGGGATAGGCAGCATGGTGATTGAAGTGCCGAACGGGGTAAACACATCACAACTACAACTCACCGAGGTCCTATTCTCACCCGAAGCAGGGTACATGCTCGTATCCATAGGATGGCTCGATGCACTTGGCTTTTCCGTCACCTTCACAGATGGTGTATGCACCATCTGCAATCCGTCCGATGACCTCGTTGGACGTATCCCAAGCTCCTTGAAGGGACTCTATTGCGTCATCCATGAGCACAGCCCAGATAGCGCAAATTCTGCGGTTGAAACCATTACCATTATGGAATTTCACTAACGCATGGGGCATATTGCACCCTCTGTAGCACGCCGCCTAGCCAAAAACAGTCTTGTATCCGGAATCAAGGTAGATTTGTCCTCCGGGGAGCAGACATTTTGCAAATTGTGTGTATACGCCAAGGCAACACGCAAGCCGATCGCCAAAGAATGCGGGGGTGAGTGCGCAAAGGACTTTGCAGCTGAGATCCACTCAGACCTCTGGGGCCCTGCACCCGTCGCAACGCTAGGAGGCCGCCACTACTATATCAGCTTCACAGACAACAAGACATGATTGACATACCTTCACCTTCTCTGTCAGAAGAGCGAGGCTTTCACAGCCTACAAGGACTTTGAGGCCTGGTGCAAAACCCAGCACAGCGCACGCGTCAAGGTTCTCCACTCATATAGAGGTGGAGAGTACCTAGGGAAGGATTTCACTAGTCACTTGAGGGCGGCAGGCACTGAACAGAAACTCACCGTTCATGACACCCTGCAGCACAATGGTGTCACTGAACATCTGAATCGGACCCTGCTGGAAAAGGTCCATGCTATGCTGCATGACAGTGGATTGCCGCAATTCCTGTGGGGTGAGGCCATGTGTCATTCTGTATGGCTGAAGAACTGCACCCCTACCAAGGTCTTAGATGGTGGTACACCACTCGAGGCTGCCACGGGAGTCAAACCAGACTTCCGGCACGTGCGCGCCTGGGGATCACCTGTGTGGGTTCGTCTTGAGGCAGGTAGCAAGTTGGATGGCCACATTGAGGAAGGTTGCTGGGTGGGCATAGATGATGCAAGTAGGAATGGTTGCAGGGTGTATTGGCCTGCTAGACGGCTCATTACTGTGGAATGGAACATGTACTAGGGCCCCTCCTGCGCTGAGTTGTTATCTCGCGAGGGGGAGGAAGATGATAACACACCTGGCGCAATGATACCGCCCTCAGCCACCACCCTCACTAACACAATCTCACCTCCTGCACCCCAGGTTCTCCCCACTGAGCCCGAACCCTCCACTAAACGCATCAGAAAGCCAAGTCAGCGACTTATGGACATTGTTGATGCTAACGGCCCCGTACCTCATGGTATTCAGCTGCCAACCGAGAACATCGACTCACAAGCCAACATTGAGGAAGAGGAAGCAGTAGAGAGGCTCCTCGCCATCATTGACAACCCAGATGATGAACTGTACAGCCTTGACCTTGCGATGGTGATTGATGAAGCAACCACAGAGTCAGAAGTGCTTGAGCCCAGCACCCTGGCAGAAGCTAGACGCCGCCCAGATTGGGCACAATGGGAGGAGGGCATACGTGAAGAGTTAGCGACCTTGCAAGCAGCAGGAACTTGGGAGCTTGTTGACTTACCCGACGGTGCTAATATTGTAGGCTCCAAGTGGGTTTTCCGAGCCAAGAAGGATGCCGCAGGGAGCATCATGCACCACAAGGCACACCTTGTCGCCCAAGGATTCTCCCAAGTCCCCAGCATTGATTTCTTCAATACCTACGCCCCAGTTTCCACCCTCACATCCATGAGAATGGTCCTGACAATGTCAGCACATCACGACTACAAGTTGCATCAGATTGACATCAAGGGAGCATACGGAAAACTCACCAAAGACAAGGTCATCTACATGCGCCAGCCCCCAGGTTTTGAATCCACCCAATACCCCAACAAGGTATGTCACCTCCACAAGATGCTGTACAGGCTGAAGCAGAGTGGGCGGCGCTGGTACCAAAGACTCATGGAGATACTGGTGAATGCACTGGGTTTCACCCAGTGTGCCATCGACCAAGCTGTATTTTTCAAATGGCAAGCAGGAGCCAGTGGCCACACAATTGTTGTCCTGCACATTGATGACTGCACAATTGCAGCTATGACGATGATGGAGATAGATGAGTTGAAGGGGGAGATTCACAAGCATGTGGAAATTACTGACCTCGGAGAACTCCATTGGCTGCTGGGAATCAAAGTCAAATGGAAATGTGACGAACGCACCATTTCCCTATCACAACGCACTTACATTGATTCTATCATCCACCATTTCAACTTTGATGAGCTCAAACCTGTCTCCAACCCCATGGAACCGAGCGCCAGACTCCATTCTGGCCAATCCCCCTCTACTGGAGCTGAATTTGTGGCTATGCGCCACATTCCTTACTGTGAGGCCATAGGTTCCCTCATGTACACATCTCTTGGAACCCGCCCCAACGTATCCTATGCCGTCACAACAG